GGAAAGACCCTTTAATAGATGAGATCAACCTAACTCTGATACATAATTGCCAGCCCTGGAAAAATCAAATCAACTCAGAAATGTTCCATGTTTCTTCTTGGACTCTTTTTTAATGCGATGGTATGTCCATAATTATCACAACAGACTCCTAGAAACATTCTTTTAATTTTGGTTCTCTCTTAAGAATGTAGTCAATTAAGTGGACCCATGTAGTTCAACTCATGTTATTTAAGGGCCAACTTTATTTAGTGTTATTTAATATATACTTCAACTCATGAAAAATGTCTACAGTAGCAGAAAATATATAACAGTAATGCACTGATTTTTCTGGAGGTTTGTCATAATGTTATTATGCTATTTCAATGGTGTTATTTTGCTTTACAGGGGTAAATAAGTCTATAAAAATGTTTCAATAAGATGAATCTTGTTGAATTACCTAAATTACCTTGATATTTTGCTGTATTATCATTTGTATAATTGAATTCACAATTTTATGATTTGGAGATTAGAATTTACATTTCTATCAATAATAGAATAAAATTAAGGAAAATGTATGTACCCTCAATATCTTGGCAGTCGTATTTTAATGTTGACTCTCCTTCCCTTTTTTTTTTTATTAAAGTTTTTCATCTTTATTTATTTTTGAGAGAGAGAGACAGAGTATGAGTTGGGGAAGAGTGGGTAGAGAGAAAGAGACACACACAGAATCTGAAGCAGGCTCCAGGCTTGAACTCATGAACCATGAGATCATGACCTGAGCTGAAGGTAGACACTTAACCAACTGAGCCACCCAGGCATCCCCACTTTTTTCCTTAAAATGTTATCTTCCTGTGGCTTTAATTACACCACATTTTCTCGATTTTCTTCCTATCTTTGCCTGTTCCAACAAATTTATGTAGGCTTATTCTTCTACATCTGAAAACTACCTTAGTATTTCTCAAAACCTAGTCAGAATGACTAAATATCTCCTTGGATAAAATAAAACTCTAGTTGCGATAAACAGATATTTAACTTTGAGGGCTAAATATCTTTCATCAGTCCCTTCTTTAAGCATAACTTTTTGCTTTAAGGACAGCACTGGACTTCAAGTTATCTTACAATAATGGCATGCTTTTATATGCAAATGAAAACAAATGCTTATGAAGATTAGCATACAAGTGCTTATGTGTGGTCATTATATAGTAAATTCTTATAATGTCTTTGTAAAAAATTATAGTTGTGAGTAATCTTTGCATTAGCATTCTTGTATTCCTCTCTCAAAGGTGAAAAAGCAAGTCTCACAAATTTAACTAAATGGAGCAAGCCCACAAGCCTAAAATCAGCATCAACATTAGACTAATTCTAATGCTTATTTATCATTAACTTGTGTTTAGCAAATTAAGTTTATTAGCATAATAACTCATTAAGAACTTTATCTGTAATCCTATAAAGCAATTTTTATAATGTCTTTGCTTTTCTTTGTCCTTTATTTTAACATAATTGCTTATCTGGGTTCAGATCAGGCAGGACCTCAGAAATACAGAGGCAGAATATTGGGTTTGTGGGTTATTAATATAGGAATACAAGATAAATTATCAAGGCTTTAATAAGAGGAATGAGAATTGATCATTCCCCCTTTCCTGTTGAAAATATTGATGTTAATTTTTTTTTCAAATAAGATTCATGTGTAATTGGTTTAATAAATAAACCAAACTCAGTAAGGTTTTAATGGCTATAAAAATAGGTTTATTATTTTTCCTACCACTGCCTTCAAAATCTTTTATTTTTTTTTCTCTTCCCCATTTCTTGGAAACAACTTATTCAGATCCTTTAGCTCTCTAAATTCTTTAATGTATTTCAGAAATAATTCCAGTTCTGGCAATGATGAGATAGTTTGTACTGGATTTACCCAACAAAGAATAATGATAAATTCTGTATCAAATTTAAAAACACACTAGTTGAAAGGACTGGAGATCCACCAAAAGCAAGAAGAAACTGAAGGGTAGGTATCTGACTCCTGAAAAATGTAACTACATTAGGTGAGAACCACTTTCATATGGCTTATTCATTGAAGGAAGACCCACCTCAGTTTAGGTGATAAGGGGTAACTAGAGCACAAAGAGAAAGTCAGAGTCTTATTAGCATCATATGTCAGAAGATGGAATTTGAGGCAGCCAGTATGGCCAGAAATTAAAAGGGAAATCAAGAAAGGAAGGAGCCATGGAAGAATGGGACAAAAATAATGTGAATAAGCCTCTCTCAAGTCTTTGGTGGACTCTTAAACTGCACATGTATGAGAATGACATTTTAAAAAATCTGCAGAAAGCAACAACCAGAAAATGAAAAGGAATAAAATATATAGTTACTGCCTATGACAAGGAAGACAGAGATTAAATTTCAAGTCCCTCCAGGTCACAAGCATCTGATGACAGCCACAGGCTTTGCATAGAAATTCCAGAAGACTATGCTTAGGAATAGAAGGATTGTTAAAACCAATGAATTTTCCTTAAAAACTAATATAAAAATGCCTGACTTAACAACATGTAAAACCGAACCTCCACAAGTTCAGGGGAAACCAAATAATAACTGCCTAATAAAACAAAAATTAGTCTTCTTCAGAGCATGCCATCTCAGAGGCATATCTCAAGTCTTAATAATGTTATCAACCAAATGGTCAGTATCCAATCATATATGAAAAAACAGAAAAGTGAAGACCTAGAAAAATGAAATTAATAGCAAGAGTGGTCAACACTGATCTATATAGAGATGGCAAAAATGCTGAAATTGTAGCAGACAAGGACTTTAAGGCAGCTATTATGAATACAATGAGGGACTTACAAGATGACCAGAATGATAAAAAGATGTGGAATCCCAAAAGAGAAATGGAAATTATTTTTTAAAAACTGAAATTCTGGATCTAAAAAATAAGCTATCGAAAATAAACTTACTACATGGATTTAGCAGAAAATTAGAGATTGTAGAAGAATCAGTCACCTTGAAAGTAGATCAAAATAAATTATCTAATGTAAAAGTCAGAGAGTAAAAACATTTTAAGAAATTAAATAAGATCTCAGTGACATAGAGACAATATTAAGAGGTCTAATTCGAATATTCTCTGAGCCTTAAAGAGAGAGGAGAAAGGGGAAAGGGTAGAAAAAATAATTATAGAAATAACTGCCAACATATATTAGATTTTGTGAAACATATCCTGGAGCTTAGTAAATCCCTAGGAGAATACATACAAAGAAAAACACATCTAGGCATATCATAGTTTAACATCAAAACATCAAAAATGAAAAAAAAATGTAAAAAAGGCCACACCACACTAAAAAAAGGAACAGAAGTTCAAATGATGTCTAACTTCTTATCAGAAACAATATATGGCAAAATATTATAGAAAGACATCTTTAAAATGATGAATATTAAGAAAGATTATTAACTTAGCATTTTATATATACAAGACTATCATTTAAAACTGAGGGCAACAAAGATATTTTAAGATAAAAAAAAGTCGAGAGCTACTTGTTGGGCTGAACTTCAAGACATTCCAAAGGAAGTCTTCTGAAGTACATGATTTCAGACAGAAGGTCAGATAAGCAGAAAAAGAGAACCTGAGAAATAAATAGTGGATAAGTAGTTAAATATCAGAAACCCTTTTTTTCTCTTTATATCTATAAAAGACAACTTATTGTTTAAATAAAAAAAAACAATTACATTTTACTGTGGAGTTCTGAAATTATAATTATTTTGAACACAAGAGCATAAAGGATAGGGTGGTATAAATGAAATTATATTGCTACAAGTTTATACATTCTTAAAAAATCTGAATGATATTAAAAGAGATAGAATGTGGTAAGTTAACAATGCATATTGTAATCTCTGTACTAACCACACAAACAGAAATACAAAGAGATACAGCACAAAGTCAAAAGAGGAAATAAAGTCAAATACAAAAAAAAAAAAATTCAATAAACCCAAAGACACACACACACACACACAACAGAGAGAAAAATGAGACATATATAAATCAAATAGTGTTATAAACCTGAACCTAACTACTCAAAAATTCATCAGGAAGACATAATAATTATAAACATGCATATGCCTAATAACAGAGATTCAAGAAATTGAAGCAAAAACTGACAGAAATAGAGGTAAGCAAATAGAGAAGTTTAAGTACCTCTTTGAAAAATGAAAGAACAAGGAGAAATAGAACACTAAGAATACAAATGTTTGGAGTTCAAGTTTGGCAAAAGTGAAGCCTTGTTCTAGATAACTTTCTATTACAAGAAATACTTCAAAAATTAGCTTTATTTTGTCATCAGTTTTCTTTACACAAAGATCATAATACTGGCTGAAACTTCTGCTGACTTTTGCATTCAACATCACCACTGAAGGCTTTGCCTTGCATTTGTTTTAAATGAAATTAGCTTCGAGGCATAGGAGCACGTGTACCCCAATGTTCATAGCAGCACTCTCCACAATAGCTAAAACATGGAAAGAGCCTAAGTGTCCATCAACAGAAGAATGGATCAAGAAGATGAGGTTTATCTATACAATGGAATAATACATGGCAATGAGAAAAAATGAAATCTGGCCATGTGTAGCAACATGGATGGACCTTGAGGGTGTTATGCTGAGCGAAGTAAGTCAGGCAGAGAAGGACAAATATCATATGTGTGCACGTATAGGAGGACTAGGAGGAACTTAACAGAGGACCAATCGGGAGAAGAAGGGGGGAAATGGTGGGGGAAAGGGAGAGAGGCAAACCATGAGAGACTCTTGAATGCTGACAAAAACTGAGGACTGATGGATGTGGGGGGGAGGGGGGGATGGGCATGGAGGAGGGCACTTGTGGGGATGAGCACTGGGTGTTGTGTGGAAACTAATTTGACAATAAACTATTTGTAAAAAAAAAAAATAAAATAAATGAAATTAGCTTCTACAAGTTACAGTTCAATCTTCAGATAGGCGATAGATAGATAGGTGATAGATAAATAGGTATATAGATAAATGCTTACCTTAAAGACCAGTTCTCCTACCAAGCCATTCCACGTCCCGTCTTCTTGTGGGCTTCCATACTTGTGATCCGGTGCAACATAAATTTCATAGTTAAAACCCAGGTAATTAGATAAGGCATCCAAAACATCAATGGAAAAGCCCTGATATTTCTTCGGCTTGCCCAAGACGTTTTCAGAGACCATTACGAAAGGTTCTTCCTAAATGGAAACAAGAGAAATCCTTGATGTTAATCTACAGTTCTCTCCCTAAAAGCAAAAATTAATTCTTCAAAGAGTTTTACTTAGAAACAGCTTAAAAATTGCCTTTGAACTTTGAGAGAATTAACTTAGCAATATAACTTCTGTGTTATTAATGTATCACACTATGAACAATGTTAATCGCTGAGTTTCTTTTCATCTCTCATTTAATTACTACCATATCAAAATGAGATGAAAGTAACTCTAAAACTTCCGGGGCCATGAATTCATTTTTTTGCCATCTTAGGACCAATCTAAGGTTCAAATAACTATAAGTTTATTGTATCCCTAAGCATTTGTTATCTATATATGTAAAAAATATGTAAAATAATATTTTAACAGATATAATCTGCATAAACTCTCTGAAAAGAACAAAAAGTTCTAAGAACATATAATTTAACTAAAATTTATAACATAACATTTACTGAGAGTTATCTGAAAAGTAATTTTGAAATATAAACACATTTCATTGCAAAAATAGCTTCTCTCCTATTGCTATGAGAAATTCACCTAAGATTTTGGTAAATTGTGTAATTTAGTAAATTTAGCAAATTGGTTTCTGCTTCTACCTCTTTTATCATTTTGAATTTGTGTCCTCTTACAGTTAATAAGTAAGCTCCTTTCACTCTTTAGAACACCTGGTGTTAAAAGAACTCAGTTGTTTTGAAACATGCTGGTAGACCATAGAAAATTAGGTAACTTATTCCTTAATATCCTAAACTCATTCAGAAATTTTATAGAACAGTAATATTTACAGATAACCATCCATATATCTATATCTATCTATATACATAGATACACACATAGATATCCATAGATATACATACCTATCTATATAAATATTACATAGATAGATACAGATACAGATATATATCTAGCCCTCCTGGCAGGTTAAAATCTTTCTATCCTGGATCTCAGCCAGAAAACCCAAAGATTTTATCCTTGGATCATTTTTCCTTTAGGACTCCCGGATGAGACTTCATTGAGATGTAAAATAATACTTTACTTTGGCTTTTAGTCAAAGACACTAAGTAAGTGTTTATAGAGTTGCTGCATTTTTATAGGAATATTGTCCACCATAACATTCAGTTTTCCCCAAAAAAAGTATACCAAGAGATATATTTTTGGATTGTTTAGAGCCAAGAGAGCTTTATTTTGCCCCAGTAATGCCCTCTTCTGAATAATTAAAGTAAGGTATCTAATTCTTTTGGTGTCCCCTTTCACTTTGGACACCCAGAAAATCCATTCAAAGTGTGATGCTCATCTACAACTGTGTTGATATTGTCATTATGTAATGTTTCTTAAATCTTGGTTTTCTAAACTACTGATGTTTTTTTCTTTTTAAAAAAATTTGATCTTGGTCAATTGTTTATATATTACCTTAAACTAAAATAAATCAGTAAATAATAAATCCAGGAAATAAAGGAGGGGGGTGCTATTTGTTCCCCAGGAGCTGTTTCTTTTCTCACTAATTAAGTACATGTATATGTATGTATACATATACATCTATTTACATATTTGTATTTTTAGCACCTGAGACTGAAGACAATTCACAGTCTCTTTTTAGGCAAGGTGAGACCATGTGATTACTTCTGGCCAATGCAATGTAAGCAGGTACTTTGTCCATTGTTATTCCTGGCTGGAATGAACACATAATGGCTGGGGCTCTAGTAACTGTTCACATCACACGTAGTAGAGAAACAAGGCAGAAGAAGTCTATGTTTGCATGTGAAATGCAATACTTGACTCTTAACAATCTAGGACTTTAGATTGTGAGAAAAAAGAAATTCCGATCTTTTTTTTAATTCATAAGCTCCTGATTGTTTTTCCATCAGAGAAGTACTTGATGCTAATGAACACTGACAGATTGATAGATTAGTAGAAGAGAGGTTTTGAGAATGAATAACAGGGGCTCCTGGGTGGCTCAGTCGGTTAAGCGTCTGACTTCAGCTCAGGTCACGATCTCACGGTTCATGGGTTTGAGTCCTATGTGGGGTTCTGCGGTAACAGCCAGCTCAGAGCCTGGAGCCTGCTTCAGATCCTTCTTTCTTTCTCTGACCTTCCCCTGTTCACCCTGTCTCTCTCTCTCTCTCTCTCTCTCAGAAATAAATAAAAAACATTTAAAAATTTAAAAAAAAGGGAATGAATAATAATTTCTAATAATATTGATTTGTTTAATCTAAATGATACCAAATGAGAAAAAGGTAAGCAATCAATCCTTTAATATTATATGTAAAATACAGAACGTCTTGATGATTCATTTAAAAATGCATAATAATCTTTCAGATAACTGGTAGAATTTGCTACTGTCCATTAAGTTGTATGGACAAAATAGAAACCTAGCCAATGACTATGTATGTAGTGTACAAATACTCAGAAGTAGGCCATGAGGTCATTAGGATCAGTATGAATTAAATAAATGAAAAAAAAAAGATTATATTCAGAAGCATGCAGATAAGCTTATGAAATTCTAGAATTCTAGAACTAGAATCAATCTGTATGACAAATGCCTATCCATTGAAGAACCAAAGGAAAGACGGTTCATAAAATATTTTACTTGACTGATTCCTCTATCAATAATTTTGAACCATATGTATTCTCTATTTACCCATGGACTTCACAATCCAATAAATCTCTAAAGTATAAAAGTAATTTAGTCACCAGAAAGCTGAATATCACTCTCCAAGGTAACAAATAAAAATATTAGTTAAATGCATTGCAAAACTAAATGATCCATGTGGCACAAATATTATTCTGATGTATGCTTTGAATGAAATATTGCTGTTTTTTAAATTTTTATTCCTCTCTCTTTAGAGCAAATGTTTAAAAATGCTAAATTATATTTCCTTAATATGCTAATTTTTCCTCTTAAAATTATTTTTAATTTCAATATTGTAAGTGAATCCTGAGGCAGATAGATCTTTTCAGAGGTTTGTTGCCAAAATCTGGTACTAGCAAAATCAGCTAGAATTGATTAAAGGTATAGAGTAAAAATGGTTTTACTAAGGGCTCTTTTAAAGAGGGTTGATGAATTATTAATGAACATGCTTTTTAAATTTTATGAGTGAAATAAACCTTTATTACATCCTATCACTTCTCTTCTAGATAGATGTTTTTAAGCTTTGTTTTTAAGCTCTTTTCCAGATTCAGATCATTATTTGTAAATCCTACCTCAGACCAGTTGTGCTTTATGAGGACAATCAGCCAATAAAGTGGACAAGTAAACATAGCAATATAAATTATATTGAAAGTCTAGGACCTATAATACAAACAATATTCTGACCTTATCTATGGCAATACTGATCTTGGTTGAATCACTTTTATCTATGCACCTATTTCCAATATTTATTCATTCACAGATTTATCTATTTAACACGAATAGAGGGGCTACAACATCAAGGTACTATGCTCAATATAGTGAGTATAGTACTCACTATACTCAATATTGTAAAAGGTCATGAGCACCACTTTCATAATAATCATAACTTAATACTGGGAAAAGCCACATACTCAAAAAATACAAAGCAAAACAAAATCAAAACACACCATAATTAGTACACACAAAACACCAGAGAAACACAAGGGAAACTAAAAAAAAAAAAAAAAAAAAAAATCACCCAATCACCATTTTGGTTACCATATATGTACTATTTTAACAGATAAGAAAAGCTAGGAAAAATGTCTCAAGATCACACAATAAGTTACAGAACAGAAATTCATCATAAATCAATTTACTTCAACTTTTTCTCTTTTGACTTCAAAATTGTCAACTTATGGATTAAAATGTAGGTCTCCATAATTTGTCTAACATTTTAATACAATTTAAACTGGTGTGAGACTGGGAGAAATTCCAGATGTTTGACAGAGAAACAAAACAAAACAAAAAACAAATCAAAACACAACATAATACTCCCTAGAGGAAGTATCATCATTTTTGGTCTTACATTATTCCTTCAAGTAATTGCTTGAATACAATATTCAAAACAGAAGTCAAACATATCATGTAAAATGAAATTCTATTTCACAAATAGAACTGGCAGAAATAATATACAACAGAAACAGATCTTTGAGAACTCAGATACTGAAATTTTCAGATGCATATTCTAAAAATTATGTTACTGTATTTAAGGAAATATAGGACAAATTGACAGGAAATTGGAAACCATATGAAGTGTCATTACACAATTTGAAAACAACTAAACAGAAATTTAAGAATTGGTAAAGGGGCGCCTGGGTGGCTCAGTCGGTTAAGTGTCCAACTTCGGCTCAGGTCATGATCTCGTGGTTTGTGGCTTTGAGTCCCGTGTTGGGCTCTGTGCTAACAGCTACCTCAGAGCCTGGAGCCTGTTTCAGATTCTGTATCTCCCTCTCTCTCTGACCCTCCCCTGTTCGTGCTGTCTCTCTCTCTCTCTGTCTCTCTCTCTCTCAGAAAAAAAAGAAAGAAAGAAAGAAAGAAAGAAAGAAAGAAAGAAAGAAAGAAAGAAAGAAAGAAAGAAAGAAAGAAAGAATTGGTAAAGATAATATCCAAAGTTAAGAAGTTAATGACTGAGTTAATTAGCAGATAAGAAACAGATGAAGAGGGAATTAATGACCTGTAGCAGTTTAGAATTAATACCCATGGTGCAGAGGAATAAACAACTAGAAAATCCCAAAGCAAGAGGACAGAGATGAGAAGCAGAAAGCTGGGTAGTCTGATGATCCCAAATTGCTAAGTATATGAAGAAACAAGCTATCATTCACTATTGCTGGATGTTTAAATTGGTTCAACATTTTATTTAAAAAAATTTTAAATTTATTTATTTATTTCGTGAGAGAGAAAGACAGCACAAGCAGGAGAAGGGCAGAGGGGGCAAGGGAAGGAATCCCAAGCAGGCTCTGCACTGTGTGCACAGAGCCCATTGAAGGGCTTGAACTCACAAACTGCACAATCATGACGTGAGTGAAACCAAGAGTCAGACTCT